GCTGCAGCAGCAAACCCTAAACCCTAAACCCTAAACCCTAAACCCTTGGGCGCAGACCCTAAACCCTAACCCCTGGGGCGGGGCCGTGGGGTGGTCTACAGAGCGCTCGCGTTCTAACCTTAAAGTTCAAACCGTTTAGGGTTTAGGGTTAAGAGTAATCTCTTTGGGGCGGGTTTGGGGTTCGGGGTTTAGGGTTTAGGGTTTAGGGTTTAGGGTTTGTGGTTTGCAGCACTTGGTGCTGTCGGCTTCTTCGATGTTTCTCTGATGGCGTGGCTGTGGGCCCCCGAAGACCCTGAGATATCTGCTGCTGCTGCAGCGATAAACACTGCAGCAGCAAAACTCAACTTGCCGCAGATCCTTGTGCGCTTTCGGGTTTAGGGTTTAGGGTTTAGGGTTTGGGGTCTAGGCTTTGGAGGGCGGAGGGCGAAGCACCAGATGTACTGAGCGAGCGCTTCCGCTTCCGGGCTTTGAACTGGAGGCCAGTGGTCAAGGCTCAAGCCTCTAGGGTTTATGATTTAGGGTTTAGGGTTTAGGGTTTAGGGTTTGCGTTCAGGAGGGTTTGTCGCCCCTGGACACGGGGGTTTCTGCTGCTGAGAGTTTCCTTTGGGCGAATTGCCTCAAAGCGAATTCCGCCACAGCAGCAGCAGCTGCTGCGCTGGGGCCCCACATGCTCTCTGAGGGTTTATGCAGGTCCCTAAACCCTAAACCCTAAACCCTAAACCCTAACCCTAGGCAGGGTTTCGCGGGCGCCGGTGCATCACCGCGGGTGCAGCAGGCCCCAGCCACAAGGCTCTCCGACGCCACTCTCTATTCAGCCTCTGAGTCGCCTACGACATAGAGTTTAGGGTTTAGGGTTTAGGGTTTGGGGTTTAGGGTTTAGGGTTTGCGCACAGGGTTTTGGTGGAGCAGGAGGGCCCCGTGGCGCTGCTGCTGTCCCTAATGGAGGCCACAGGCGTTGCCTGCGACGAGTCTGTTGTGGCGCCCCACAAGGAGAGGCTGCAGGTGGGGTTTAGGGTTTAGGGTTTAGGGTTTAGGGTTTGTCGTTTAATGGTTAGGGTTTAGGGTTTAGGGTTTCTCGTTTAGGGGTTAGGGTTTAGGGTTTAGGGTTTGTCGTCTAGGGCTCAGGGTTCTGGGTTTAGGGTTTGTCGTCCAGGGCTTATAGTTAAGGGTTTAGGGTTTGTCGCCTAGGGTTTAGGGTTTAGGGTTTACGGTTTGCGGGTGCTTCAGGCAGAACTCGAGCACCTTGCTGCTGCTTGCTGCGCGGCTGTTGGCTTTTCTTTTTCTCCTTCTTCTCCTAAACAAGTTGCAGACCTCATTTACAACAAACTCAAACTGGGGCCCCCCAAAGGGGGCCCCCCGGGGGGCCCCCCAGGGGGGCCCCCAGGGGGGCCCCCCCGGGGGCCCCTGGAGGGGCCCCCTGGAGGGTTTCAAGTGGAGGGTTTGAAGCAGCAGTGCACTGATGACAATGTTCTTCAAGTAAACCCTAAACCCTTGGCCCTGTGCGCTGCATTTGAAACCCTTGGAGCCCAAACCCTAAACCCTAGGGGCGTCCCAGTGGCTCTCTAAACCCCAAACTCTCCGTCTCCAAACCCTAAACCCTAAACCCTAGCTGCTGCGGGGCCTCCTGCTGCAGAGCCTGCGAGAGAGCCACCCGGTGGTGCCGCTGCTGCAGCGCTATCGGCAAATAGCGAAGCTTTACTCCACTTTCTTGGCTCCCCTAACCCCCGTAAACCCTAAACCCTAAACCCTA